GCATTGTTGTAACGATGTAATTAGTATTTATTTCATGCATTGTTGTAACGATGTAATTAGTATTTATTTCATGCATTGTTCTAATGATGTAATTAGTATTTATTTCATGCATTGTTCTAATGATGTAATTAGTATTTAATCCATTTATTCCATGCATTTTTGTAATGCGCAGTTGATCATCCCGTCATGGAAACCGCGCAATATAAATTCACAATTTTATTGTTATAAAGGACGTTTTGACAAGATTTTTTGGGGTCGATCGAAACATGACAGTTTGTAGACTTTACATGTTTTTTCTTTTGATATGACCAGCTTCGTTGCTGACTTTTTCTCAGAAATAAAGCTTTGAAAATTGCCGTTTAAATAGTAGTTCGTACAACGAGGAATAACAGTTTCTGAAAGCTGCTTCAATGAATTTCTGATCAAAATTTTAAAAGTTTTTAAAAAGGAAAAATTTGGATAAAAAAGCTGCAACTGCTTAGCGTTCAAGGTGTGACAATTAAGGTTGACCATTAGAAATCAAGAGCTAAGCGTTTGAATGAAAAAGTACAGGCTCAAAGAGTCAATCACCAAATTTCTCTCCGTTTTCTTTATTGTACATGATTCAGTAAATAGTCTTAAACTGTAGTTGCGACGCAAATATTTTTCGTATTAATCTATTAAACATTGAATGTCGAGTAATTTAAACTGCTGGCGGATTGCTTTTCGAATTTCGAAAACTCGCAATGATTCTTCGAGAAAGCTCTCTACTCATCCGCTTTCGACCCAGAATTCTTCTCAAAGTGTTTTTAAATTCTGGCACTCTTATCGTGTAAACCCATGGATTAACGGCTGATGATAAAAAGCATAAAAAGGCGAACCAGAACCAAGCATAGTCAACTTCTAACTTTTTACAGCGATTCGCTGTCGTAAGCTCGATGCAGGAAGCCACAAAGCTTGGTAACCACATGATCACAAAAAGAAAAATAACTACTCCCGCTGTCCAAGCTGCTTTTCTGTTCATAGCAGATAATCTCGCTTCTTCTGCGCTTATCTTGCGTTCAGCGATTTTCTTGATCTGCGTCCTTGCAGCGCAGCAAATTTTTAGGTAGCAAAATCCAATGAGGAAGAGTGGAATGATAACTGTTAACACTGTGGTTGAAATCCAAAGTCTTGGAAGCTCGTCTGAGTTGTCGATAAAAAGTCTCACAGAGGCAAACAAGAAAGAAAATAGCCAAATCAAAATTAATGCGGTGAAACACTTCTTGCGAGTCATGATTCGGTGGTATTTAAAAACCGCAGTAATTGCTATATATCTATCAATGCTGACAGAACATAAATTAAAAGTAGTGCTTGTTGTCGTTTGGATCCACATTAAGTCAGCAAGTTTAGAAAGCCAGTGGTTTCCTTGCCAAATGTTCAATGCCACTTTAGATATCAGAATCGGGTTCATGAGAAAACCCACTGAAATGTCTGCCACAGCGAGCGAAGCGATGAAAAAGTTTGATACAGTTCGGAGAGACTTTGTTTGATAGATCGCAAGAAGGACAACACAATTGCCGAAAAGACAAGTCATGCTGGAGACAGCGTACAAAAAAATCAGAAAAGCGGAAGAAATTAACGACATTTCCGCAACACATGGTTTGTCGTTTGCTCCCCCGAAGCTTCTGTTCTTCATGATAAATTCCAACCGAAGCTGAGACTCTTTAGGCTCAATCTTGATCTATGCGAGTTATGTGATAGAGAAGACCCTAACTAATCACGACGCATTTAGAAAAACGCTTTCGAAGAAAACGTCATGTCTTTTCAACGAGATACAATCTTCGAGAAAGTTACAATTTGAAATGACCCACTTTCCTTAATTACACACGGAAAAAAACTAATATAAGAAACAATTATGTCCTTCTCAATTAACTTTTCATGCGCGTTTTTGGATGTGGCATGTTTTATTCTCAATTTTGTAGATTTTGACGGACAGTTTGAGACGAAACTCATTTTTTTTGTCAACTGGTTGTCTTCAGCTCAGCCACGTATCAGATTAAAGTTCCCTCTATTTACACAGTTGGAAAAACCACTTTAATTAAAAAAAGATGCGCTAATTTTAGCCACTAAGACATGGTTGTCAGTGTTAGATGTTGTGTGGATCCCAGGAAAAAGATTGCTGTACGTGCGCTTCCCATAAAATGAAGCGAAATTGGATGTAATTAACTTCAAACACCGACTTAGCGACGATCTTTGACTTGTGAATGTATCAGCGAGATTTTTGATGATTTATGGCAAATAATATCGTGTGATAACGGTTTTCGAATACAACCAAAAGCACCAGTTGTTTGTTCTTCATTACTCTATTGGACAGGAAATTAAAAGATCCTACTAACAATTTCTTCCCCCTTCCCCATTTATGTTGTTTTTTTTTTGCAGTTATTCTATTTTATCTTTAAATTTGATGAGGTAATTCTTGCAGCTTGTAGCAGCACTCAACAAGCACCTGGTAGGCACAGGTTTGTATCCCGCCGAAACCAAAAGTTTCCAGGCTCCTTTTCTGCAACCGCTGAAATTGCAGCACACCAGCGAGGACCATGTTTGCATTTCTTATTTTATTTTTAATCACACGTGAATACAAACCACACAGAGGAGATTTCATCGTGAAAAAGCTAAAACTTGTTAGGTTAAAATCTACTTGAGCGTGTAACATTAATGATTAAAACCCCCTTTTAAAATGTACTCTCTGTATATGTGCTCAGATTATTTTCCCTCTATGTTAGTTTTTTTTTTGTCATTATTTGTTCACCCCAGCGTTAATTATGCAAGGTTATGCTTTGCCTTTGTTTCACATGAAGTCTTTATCTCCTATCCGACCAAGGGAAGACATGAAGGCTCCTTCTCTTCCCCTGTGTAATAAAACAGCCGCCATCTTGGATTTTCACCCCGAAGAGAGTCAGGGGACGAGCTGGAGTGAATCGCCTTGGGGGGTCTAAAACACTGAGCTGGGTTGTTGAAAACACTGTTTCCCTATCCTGGGGTAAGTGTAAATTTTTAATTTACTTCAATAGCTCTGCAATGGAATTTTTCTTTTGTATTTTTTTTTCCAGTGAGTTTCGAGTCATATTGAGAGAAGATCCAACAAAGCCTCGGCCCTTTAACACGCTCTTCTACACGAGAATTTAAAGCTAAGGTTAACTTTAATTCCCGGATTAATGTGAACCCCTTTTCGAACAACCCGAACTGGACAACACTGATCTGAGTGAAGGCTCGGCGGGATCAATCATTTTCAGTTTCTCCGCCATTTATTTTTTGTGTACGTCGGTTTGGACAGGGTAGACCTTTGCCAGACTTGCAGACTCAATCACATCTTTGAAAATGTGCTACTTAGAACCTGGCGCGATTTGTAGCAAGGATCCTTTAGGTTTTGGTGGCATATTTTGATGAAGGAAACTCAAAAACGGCATCTACATGCATATAAATTAAAAAAAGATTGGAAATAACACAAACTAAAACAATTGCATAATCCCTTCAGCAATTTGTACACGGTTCAGTTTTACGTCCTACAAACGCGAACTTGGCTTCCTTTTACTGCATTCACTTGAAAAAAAAAAAAGCCGAAATTAGGAAAGATCTCCCCTATATGGCAAGTTCAAATATTTTCACATTATCACACAAGAATTTGAACGGCAGACAGCGACAGTTGGACCCTAGCCATATATCAAACCTATTCGACACAACAGGCTGAATTAGCTGTGAGTTAGTAAATAAAACCTATCTCCAGTCTCCACTCGGATCTAAATCGAGGAGATGCTTAGCAAATGAAAATATTAGAATTGAGAAATGAAGTTAAACGACCGCTCTAGCGAAATTACTTTTAAATGTTGTTTTTTGAGCATCATTGGATTTATAGGAACTTTTTTCTTTTCTTTTTTTTTTTTTAAAGAAAACTTCCTTCTTGCGTGAGTAAGTGACAGTCTTATTGAAGCGGAACGACAGAAAAACGCATTAGGAAGGTAAGCTACGTTGACACACTGAAGGTTTAGACGAGATAAGGGATTTACTATTGACAGCATATGGACAAATTGATGCTAGGAGTGATACAACAAAGAAAAAATTAATTAAGATCAGCAATGAAATAAAAAAAAAAACATTCTACGAAATACAAGTACTGGAACTCCCAGTACTTAGATTAAAAGGGATTCTATAATTTTTTTATCGATTTTTGAGGACCACCGCAGGGTTGTAATCTCCCATTATCTAAACTGGCTTTCCTGAGCTTTATTAGTAAAAAAAAATTCAAGACTTTACCCGCTTTGTTGGAAATATCGTCAGGCGCGACAATATGACATTTATGGCTAATTTGACATTCCATTTCGCTTAGTCAACTCTTGATCTCCCTCAGCGTTTGCAATTAATGTTTTAAAAACGCGAAGAGAAAAACTAAGTGCAGAATCATGGTTCAGTTTTTAGGCAAATTCGATCTCCTCCTACTGGTGTATTGATAAAACATCCACAGCTGAACAGAGTATCAGTGAATTACTAGGAGTTTGTTTACATGACATCTTAAGCGTCAGGTTTATTTTGTAGATGCTAAATGGGTAAATTTAACTTGCAAATGGCGGAGAAAAAATAAAGAAAAACAAATGCTGAAAAAAAAAATTCCAAATTCGACTTTCTTCGGATTTCAGACCATCGTATGCCAAAACTCTCCTTCGTTATCGTAAAACTCCGAGGCGGATGAAGGGTAATGTATGTAATCCTAAGCTAATTTCCAAACTGCTAAGTGCTCCAAGTTTACATAGATATACAAATTAGCTCAGAAGAACGTCATGCCGTCTAATTTGTCCCGAGCTACCCTATCAATTTCACTTTGTAAAAAGGCAGCTGTTTCTGACATTTCGACCATTGTATCATCACACTTGTCTCTGTGGCTTCGAACTACATCCCTATATTTAACAATATTGTTAGTTAGGCCAGTTCATTACCGGAGGAATTAAGACGAAAACCGAAGTTTACTCAAAAGAACGGATATCATTTGACGAGACACATCACAACTCGACTTATACTGGGAAAGTATTCCATCTCAAGCCAGCTTTCAGGGAAAAAAACATCAACAACAATGCGTCCTTGTTAGGGTAAGAAATCTTTCAGGTTTTAATTAATTTCCAAAATCGTGATGATTGTATAGCCTTTCTAACTATTATTTATACAAATTATTTGTAAATGACAATTTGCTTCTTTTGTCCCCGGCATTAGTCAGAAATGAGCGCTAAAATATATCTCAAAGTGGATTTATGGGTGTTGATCATGTTCATCATATATTTTCTTTCGAAGCAATTTCCTCAAAAATTTTCTTAATTCTGCTTCATTAAGCTTTGATTATATTTTGCTAATGGGAGAATTCAACCCGGTGATTTTGGCTTTGACTGCGAAAAAGAAACTTACTTGAGAGAAATTTCCACCCAACATTTCCATCTTCTTTCGTTGTGATCTGGGTTCTCGTGGAGAAATTGCGTGAGTATCAGATTCAGCTCTATCTTTACATTACCACTCAGCTTTGATACGCGATATTGAAAACGTAGAATACTGAAAACTTAGTCTGACAAACATCATGCATCTTATACAATGAATATATGAAGTTCATATATTTTGAACTGCGGTTGTAGATACGTATGATGCACGATCCTCGCAGTAGAGAGCGCTATTTATGCAATAGCGAAAATCAGACCTGAAAAAAATCAGGCCTGTACGGGATTCGAACCACTGACCTCTGCGATACTAGTGCAGCGCTCTACCAATTGAGCTAACAAGCCAACTGGGAGCAGGCCGTTAAGTTGATTCGTAATAAACCCGTGATGATAAATCAGATACAATGAATATATGAAGTTCATATATTTTGAACTGCGGTTGTAGATACGTATGATGCACGATCCTCGCAGTAGAGAGCGCTATTTATGCAATAGCGAAAATCAGACCTGAAAAAAATCAGGCCTGTACGGGATTCGAACCACTGACCTCTGCGATACTAGTGCAGCGCTCTACCAATTGAGCTAACAAGCCAACTGGGAGCAGGCCGTTAAGTTGATTCGTAATAAACCCGTGATGATAAATCAGATACAATGAATATATGAAGTTCATATATTTTGAACTGCGGTTGTAGATACGTATGATGCACGATCCTCGCAGTAGAGAGCGCTATTTATGCAATAGCGAAAATCAGACCTGAAAAAAATCAGGCCTGTACGGGATTCGAACCACTGACCTCTGCGATACTAGTGCAGCGCTCTACCAATTGAGCTAACAAGCCAACTGGGAGCAGGCCGTTAAGTTGATTCGTAATAAACCCGTGATGATAAATCAGATACAATGAATATATGAAGTTCATATATTTTGAACTGCGGTTGTAGATACGTATGATGCACGATCCTCGCAGTAGAGAGCGCTATTTATGCAATAGCGAAAATCAGACCTGAAAAAAATCAGGCCTGTACGGGATTCGAACCACTGACCTCTGCGATACTAGTGCAGCGCTCTACCAATTGAGCTAACAAGCCAACTGGGAGCAGGCCGTTAAGTTGATTCGTAATAAACCCGTGATGATAAATCAGATACAATGAATATATGAAGTTCATATATTTTGAACTGCGGTTGTAGATACGTATGATGCACGATCCTCGCAGTAGAGAGCGCTATTTATGCAATAGCGAAAATCAGACCTGAAAAAAATCAGGCCTGTACGGGATTCGAACCACTGACCTCTGCGATACTAGTGCAGCGCTCTACCAATTGAGCTAACAAGCCAACTGGGAGCAGGCCGTTAAGTTGATTCGTAATAAACCCGTGATGATAAATCAGATACAATGAATATATGAAGTTCATATATTTTGAACTGCGGTTGTAGATACGTATGATGCACGATCCTCGCAGTAGAGAGCGCTATTTATGCAATAGCGAAAATCAGACCTGAAAAAAATCAGGCCTGTACGGGATTCGAACCACTGACCTCTGCGATACTAGTGCAGCGCTCTACCAATTGAGCTAACAAGCCAACTGGGAGCAGGCCGTTAAGTTGATTCGTAATAAACCCGTGATGATAAATCAGATACAATGAATATATGAAGTTCATATATTTTGAACTGCGGTTGTAGATACGTATGATGCACGATCCTCGCAGTAGAGAGCGCTATTTATGCAATAGCGAAAATCAGACCTGAAAAAAATCAGGCCTGTACGGGATTCGAACCACTGACCTCTGCGATACTAGTGCAGCGCTCTACCAATTGAGCTAACAAGCCAACTGGGAGCAGGCCGTTAAGTTGATTCGTAATAAACCCGTGATGATAAATCAGATACAATGAATATATGAAGTTCATATATTTTGAACTGCNATATATCTTATTAACCAAGCGCGAGGGCCGTACTGGGAGAATATCGGCCCGAGGTCTTGACAGTACGGACCGAGCGCAGCGAGGCCCGTACAAAAAAGACCTCGGGCCGATATTCTTCCAGTACCGTGTTCCGAGCAAGCTTGGTTAATAAGAGATTTATTACACGACTGAAGTTCAAAGGGACACAAGTGCGGTATCATTCGGGACCATTCGGGATAGTGCCCGGTCCAATACTTAGCGAATATTGGACCGGCAATAGAGCATTTTGATTGGTTGATTTAAGTTATTGGCCCTCTGACTGCCCGAGTCGTGTAATAAATTTCTTTAGAGCTTCTTTTTATTACCGTAACGGAATCGTTACTGTGAGAATACTTGTCGACGACTGATTTCTCGCCTAAGATGACTAAAATTAAACCCGTTTCCATCATTATCGAAGGGGGAAAATACTTTTCCTTTTTTTGGATGGGAGGGTTTCACAAGCAGCAAACAACTCTTTTTGTGTGATTTTCTTAAACCGTCTCTGTAGCGCCTCACTTACGAATGTCTTAGAAACTAGACAGAATAAGAGGCGATGGTTCCCGAGCTGGACTCCCGATCAAAAGGTGTGGGTGCGGTCGAGAGGTCTGGGTACGATCGAGATCTGGGTACGATCGAGATCTGGGTACGATCGAGATCTGGGTACGATCGAGATCTGGGTACAATCGAGATCTGGGTACGATCGAGATCTGGGTACGATCGACCTATTTTGATAATATTTCTCGAATGGTTATTGCGACAGTTCAAAGATTTGCATTTTGATTCCCGGCAACAAAATTAACAAATCTAAGATTATCATTAGTTTTTTCATTTTGTGTCTCGGGTCCATTCATTTAAAATAAGCGCTGTCGGAAGCTTTATTCAATATTTGATTGATTTATCTAGATATTGGATTGCGAACAGTTAAAAAATCTGAAATGTGAATATTAACAACAAGCTAGATGCAAGCTAAAATTTATTTCATCGCCTGAATCAGTTTGTATCGCACTATTTACCAGTAAGTTCAGGACATTTTACTTTTAAAACTTTATCCTCAACGTAGTCTGGGAAATCGTGCAGATGAAATTCTCAGCTCTGCGCATCATAGCCACTCGATACAAATCTGAAAGCAATACATTTTCTGCAAATCGTTTTGTTTTATCACCACAGCTATCAATTACCCCAAGTCGCAATAACGGAAAACCCTCGAAATGAGATAGATTAAAACGCAATTTTAAACTGTTCACTAAAACTTTTCGTATGATCTATCTTAGTGGACAGATTACAAATCTGACATAGTCTAGGTCTGTTAATACCCCGTCATGTTTGCTTTTCATTGTCGCTTCTTGTGATCCTATAGCTTTATAAAACTTGTTTGCTAATATTAATTCACTGTTCCTTTTATCCTGAGGAGATGACACCCATTGGAAAAACAATGGACTATCATCGTCGGGAATATTCGAAAGCTTTATCACTTGACAGGTTTAAATAGTACTTGAGTACAAAGCCTTGTGAAAAGACGATTGTTCTACGAAGCGACTATTGTGCAAACGTAGGTCTGTTGTTAGCGTTTGAATGACTTTTCTTTAATGTATACATAACTTCTCTTAGCTTTTCAGAGCTGACTTCGTTACTCAGTACCTTTGAATTCCGTGTCGCGTTCGTAAAGCCAACAAAGTATCCTTCGAACGAACGATCGCGACATGTTGACAGAAATACCCTCTGAAGAATTAATTTGTTTTGGTATCATTTTGTCCGCGCTTTCAATCCTAACTCTTTTGGGAAACAGCTTGGTGTGTCTCGCCGTTTGGAGATTAAGGAATTTGCGAAGCTTGACGAACTATTTAGTGTGCAGTTTGGCATATGCTGATTTTTTGGTGCCTATCCTTCGTGTTATTTACATCAACATTTCAGTGTATGCCGGAAAATGGGTGTTTGGAATAACATGGTGTTATATATCGTCGATGTGCGGCGTGCTATTATGCAGTGCTTCCATCCTTCATCTCTGTGCCATCAGCATCGAAAGGCTTATTGCAATAAAATGGCCGTTATCGTACGACGCCAAAGTCACTCCGAAAAGAATTGTCATCGTGCTGATATACATCTGGGTACAGTCGCTTGTGTTTTCTATTTTCCCTACTTTTGGTCTCGCCGAGCACCGTTTCAACCCAGTTCTAGCAGAATGCGAGATAAACTGGCTCAAAAAGCCAGCTTTGACAGTACTTTTACTCGTGTTTTATTTTTTCCTGCCTGTTACTGTAATGCTAATTGCCTATGCGATTATTTATAAGGAAGTTCGCAGAAATAGCCGCAGAATCTCTGCGCTAGAGAGCGCTGGGAATCAAGGCTCGCGAAGTAACGTGCTAAAAAGGGAGATGAAGGCTGTTAAAACTTTGGCAGTGGTCGTTGGTATGTTTTTTATCATGTGGATGCCATACTTTGTTACTACAACCATTCGGGCTTTCAGAGGAGATGATGCCATTCCGGGTGCTCTCCAGAGGACTGTTATAACGCTAGCTTACGGCAACTCATGCTGCAATTTTGTTATTTATGCGCTAATGAATGCTCAGCTAAGAAACGCGTTCTATCGTATTTTGAAAGAGTGTTGTGGCACGCGTGAAGCGAGGATAGATTTGAATTCCACGCGCGGATTGAACTTGACTACTGTAAGTAGAAACAGGCGAGCTGAAGCACCTATGGAGAGCAAAGAGAAGTATCGAAGAGACTAAATAAAACGATCCTACTTCAGTACTCATAAATAACTAATGCAGAATGTCCAGGCATTTTGCACGATGGTGGGTAATGGTTGAGGAATTCGAGAAGTTGAGTAGTAACATATTCAGTAGATGCGTTTGAAATACGCGCATATTTATCGACAAGAAAAAAATTACGTTAAAAAAGTGACTATGTTTTCAATATTGATCTTATCTGTGCTAGTCACTAGAATTTGAGTCAATAGATTATACGTGTGAAGGCATTAGGATTATATTGAAAAAGTTTCTGCAAAAACATAATTTAGGCCAGAATCGGTTGACTTCCAAGTGAATTTGAATTTTTCCTAAACTTGTCCTTGATTTTTCTCAAATTCTACTTAGGTATTAGATAAAGATTTGGATTGACATATCTACAGTCTAATAATGGCTGTGGCAGGTTCATGCTCATCATAACGCGTATTATTATGAATTAAAGTTACTGAGAAAAATCTGATCGGTCTAAAGTATTCAATCAGTATACAATAGAGTGTGTAGTTGACATGATAAATACATTTTATCATATAAGTACTGATATAAGTAAAGTTTGTTGAAACATTTTACATAAAAATCTGCGATAAAATATTGGAAAACATTACACGACGTTTCGACGTTTCTAGAACGTCATCATCAAGTGAGAATGAAATAACAAAACTAAGATATATCTAGATGAGAAAATGAATAAATTAAGAGTAATTGAGAGCTAAACAAAGAGCTTAGCCTTAATGAGTCGCTCTGAAAATTCATCGAATGAAAATCGTCTCTCTTTGACGAGAAGCAAACCCATTAGTCATACGAATTTTCTTCACTAGTGATAAATATCGCGTGACTAATCAGAAGCATGATGCGATTTTTTTTTTTTTTCACGAGTGGGAACCGATCGTATAGGTTTTTCCCGCCTTTCGGGAGAGATGAAGAAAGTACTCGACTACGTTTCAGAGTAAAAAACACTTTGTTAATTTGAAAGCTTATGAGAGCTAATATTTTCAGAAACTCTTTAATTGTCAAAAGTAAACGTAAATTTCTTTAAAAGGAGTTTGTAATCTTTTGTTTTGAAATGAATTAATGAAAAGTGAGGTTTTACCTTTTTAAGCATATTCACATTTAGTAATTAAGGCGTCTTGACAACATTGATAGTATCTTAACAAAAGCTATATCGAGTTCACGACTTCTTTGTCTTCTGTGGTCAATTGCCTGTGATTAAAAAGTTACAAACGTTTGTAATAACTCAATACTAATAAAATAAACAAATTACTTCATAGATAGTTCACTTGTACAATTTTTATTCACTTGTTGTGAAAACCCGCAAACTCACTTGTTCGAAGGCTCGCTCGTTCGTCGGCGATTCTTTACAACTCATGAAAATTAATCTTAGTGCGCTTACCAACGATGAAGTAATCTAAGTATACGTATCTGGAGCGGACTTTGCATTTATCATTTTGAGTTCAAAATCTGCCTAGTTTCCATTTCCCGCCGTCCATGAACCGTTATCAAACTTTTGCAAACTCAGAGAGGAACTCAAAATGGCTAAACGGTTTTAAAATTGTGGCATAATTTTAACAATTAATGAGATCGGTTTTAGCGTGATATCCTGAATGATCAAATCTCGTGTCTGTGTTCTCTGCCTCAGCTTTCGGTCCCGGCAGGGTTAAGGTCAGGCGTGGAATGAAGAAAAAAAATAAAGAGATAACCCTTTCTTTTATTTTTCTATTAGGTTCCTCTAACTATCCTTACTCCCAGAATTGCTTCGGTATAATTTTTAAAATCAGTAGTATTGTTGTAACGTCAAGCTCATTGTATTTCCGATGATTTTAAACTGCGTATGAATAAATAGCAAATTTGCTGCAAATTATAGATCAGACATGCTGGACTTGTTACTGATTATACAGGAAAATGTTTTTATTTTTAGCTTACACAAAAGGCAAAACGTATTTTTTTAATGTATTATCCAACTACGCTCCGCAGAGTACAAATAACGCCCACGACGAGTACAAATATCACGCGGTATTTGTACTCTAGAGAACCGGTTAGACAGGTTTTCCCGCATCGCGCAAGCGACAGATTGGATTGAAGTTAAACGAAAAAAGTGGCGGACAATTTAAATTATTTTTCTGACGACGAAGAGTCCGAATGGCTGGCGAATATTGATCCAAGTTTATGATATAAATCAAATGAAGAAAAGCAGTTAGACGACAATGAAATTTCATCTTTTATTGAAGAAAATAGAAACAGCAACACGACAACACGCAAATTCCGCTCCGCATATTTTTGTCACGCACTCCCCGTAAATAAATATCTGCGAAATTGACCCGCACTGAAAAAACAATTTGTCGTGTTGGATAATAAATAACTTATTATCGGTTTTAGTGTATCGTATCGCTGAGTATTTTTGCTCTTTATTTGTATTTTTACGAGCCCGTAGCACAATTCGTAATCATACGAATACAATACAATTCGATACTACACAAGAAAACGTCTGAGATATATATTTAATTTCATGTAAGATAAAATCAACGGTTTGATTATGAGGTATTTTGACTGCGTCTTAAGCGTCTTGGAATGGATCATGGAACGAAGGAACTGGGAAGGAAACAGCATAAAGTCACGTCCAAAGACATCTCGGTGCGATATCGAATGATATCTGGTTAAAAATATCGAGTTGTGGTAATTCATCGTAGTCGGACTCAAGCTTCAAGGCTTACATGAATCGCTTGGATATGACACAGGGCCGAGCGAAGAGCGCATTTTCTTCGGCTGGGATTCTGATTTCTGTTGTCTCTGTCCTGTTTTACTGCGCTGGGTTTGTGAGAGTTGAAATCAAGCTTAATGAACAGGAAAAGAGAATGAGTGAGGTGGAGAAACTGTTGAAGGTCAAACTTCCTTCTTCAAGCGAAGTAAAATCGAGTCAACGAGACCTTACAATGGAGTTAACAGGTTAGAATTTCGTCCCCAAAATATAGTGAAACCAATTTTTCACATGGCCAAAATTTTACTTCTATGTTTGTACAGCATTTTAGTGGCGATACAACTCCCGTTCAACAGCTATGTTTATTTGACTCTTCGGAATTCCTGCATGACTACTAGCCGATGTTGGCCGTCGAGAGTTACATTCACACACGTTAGAAAGTTTGTGCTTACTGTAATTTTATCAACGATTAAAACTTTATTCCACTGATCTAGAAAAAAGAAATGCATCCTAGAAAGTTAGGAAAATTCTGATCCCTATAAAAACAGACCCAGGAAGTACTACGTAGATATGATGCTATGTTCAGTAACACCGACAAATCTTGTGCCGAAATTTGATGCGTCAGTAAGTTAAACCAGACGCATCAAAGAGTGTTTTTGAAATTTTGAAATGGCATCAAGAAACACGAGGCTCAGCAAAATTCAAGTGTGTGTTAATCGTAGCTTTCAGTCAGTGCTATTATTTTGAAAAAATAAAAACTCATGCCTTTGATATTTCAGATTTTCGTATGCTCGGCAACTATCCTTTCGTGTTAGTAGCTAAGCAAGGCAGCGATGGTCATCTTGTGAAATCGAGCTGAGTGTCACAGGATACATAAAAGCGACGCAAATTGATGTATCAACCGATTGAAAACCCGTTCCTAGATTTCAAGGACTTTTAGATACCAAATTTTCTTTTAGTCTCAAAACCAGATTCCTTGAACAAATTTTAAAAAAGGAAATAGGTGGCCTCTGCGGGAAAAAAAATTACCATACAAATCTAGCCTACCGCTAGAACGTTGTCACATTTGAAGCGACGTTTAAAATCTCAGAAACAACAGCACTTAAAAAAAAAAAATAAAATAAAATAAAAAAATAAAAAAATAAAAAAAATAAAATAAAATAAAAAGGTAATTTCGGGTGTCTTTCGGTTTACTTACCTTTTTTACTTTAACCTTGCAATTCTACTGTTTATGTTTTTCTTTGTTTAGATAAAACAACGAGGAATTACCCAGACATCGCAAACGACATTAGAAGCAAGCGACAAGTTGGAAACGATTTGAATACAACTGATAACAAAGAGAGAGACGAATTTGTGGTGAAACTTGACAGTTTGCTGTCAGACAGAATGATGAAACTCTGTCAAGCAAGACACTCGTGCTCACAAGGTCCCCCAGGTCCTCCAGGTCAACCTGGACTGCGCGGAACAAAAGGATCCCAGGGAAGAAGGGGCCCTAGGGGAAGAAGAGGTATGAAGGGCGACCATGGAATCATGGGATCGCCTGGAAAAAGTGGAAAGCAAGGCACTATGGGCCCTCGGGGGAACAAAGGAGAACCAGGGAAGAAGGGACAGAGTGGACACCCGGGAATGAACGGCAGACCCGGAATAAAAGGAGACCCAGGAGAATCTATCTCATCTCCTGTGGTTGTAATCTCGCCCTCTACACTGACGATAAACGAAAAAGAGGTAGCTTCGTTCCAGTGTTCAGCGAATGGTAATCCTCAGCCAGTTGTTGAGTGGAGCAGAAAGGATTCAGTCATGGATTCAAAGACAAAAATGTCTGCTGGAAAGATTATGTGGAAGAAAGTGGCGGGGAGTGACTCCGGCATCTACAGGTGTACGGCGAGAAACATTTTAGGAAAAGCAGAAAGATCTGTGAGACTCACAGTGAACGGTAAGAGAAAACAATTTTAGAAACAATTACGGGCGACGAATGAATCCTGTCATCTCCTGGAAAAAGTCGGATTAATTTAGTAGTTTCATATCTAATACACTAAAAGAGAACAGTCTGTCTTTTTTCAGGTAATGCAAATACACGTTACTATTGCTACTTCCTGTGTCTTCCCTCTCCTCGTCAAAGTTCTATTAATTAGAATTTTCTTCATGCCTTACTGTTTGAAATTTGTGTTTCCTCCACAGTCAAGCCTCTTGTATCTTTACATCTGGGACCTACTTACGTCAGGGTAGGGAGTAATGCCTCATTACCGACATGCTATGCGACTGGGTACCCCCGTCCAACAATGACTTGGAGTAGGCCACTTGGAAAGCTACCAAACTCGAGTGTACAAAGTTACCATGGCAATAGCAGTATACTCAAAGTATTCAACATCCAAATAGAAGATTCTGGTAAATACATCTGCACCGCCTCCAACCTTATGGGTACTACCGCCGTGCAAACATTTTTAGTTGTAGTTAAACTTCCTGAGTTCACCATTAGGCCTCCTGGAAAGGTTTCGTTGGCTGCAGGTGCTTCTCTCATGTTAAACTGCAGTGCAACTGGTGATCCACGACCAGTCATTTCATGGAAGAGACTTGGAGCACAGCTTCCTGTCGGATGGAATCAGTTGTCAAATGGATCACTTACAGCGAAAAACGTGAGACCTGAAGACGCTGGTATTTACATGTGCATAGCCACCAGTGGAGGGGTGTTTGAGAAATCCTCAATAAGCAACATCCGCTTATCCTCAGGTGAGTCAATTGCATCATCATGATTCCAATGATTTTCACACTCCTTGGTCTGCTCACAATAGTGTATAATTAATTATGGCCTATTTAAATACCCTTCTACTCTTGTAAATCCTCTCACAAGTTTTCCAGCCGCAGTGGAATGGCAATACAGGGGCGGATCCAGGATGTTTTTGAGGAGGGAGTGCACCACTAAAGAATGGCGTAACTGACTGGTGACAGGACGTAAACAATTGTAATAGCAGAATACCACTTGTATTAGAAAGCCGCAGGCCATCTCAGGGGGCGGGGGTACGCGGGGTGCACACCCCCTGCACCCTCCCCCAAGATCCGCCCCTGCAATACATGTAAAATAGCAGATCTTCAATTGAATTGAGATGAATTGTTTTTATTAATTTCTGTTACTTTCATGGGAGTGAAACAACTGTTACTTGCCAATGTTTTCTTTCTTAAAGATTGCACGACCTTATTGAAAAATGGCTACAACCAAAGTGGAGTGTACTCAATCGACCCAGACGGGAGAGGACAGTTCAAAGCGTACTGTGACATGCGTACTGATGGCGGAGGCTGGACTGTGTTTCAAAGAAGGCGAGATGGCTCTGGAAACTTCTCACGGGGATGGGACGACTACAAGGCAGGGTTTGGTCAGCTGACTGGAGAGTTTTGGCTCGGAAATGACAAGATCCACCGACTGACAGCCTCTAGAACCTGCTCCCTGCGAGTTGATATGGAGGACTGGAACAGTGCCAAAGCATACGCCAAATATGGCCGGTTTAGCGTTGGGGACGAGCAGTCTCAATATAGACTTGAAGCAAGATCGTTTTCAGGAACAGCAGGTGACTCACTGGCATATCATAATACGATGAAATTCAGTACGAAAGACAGACACAATGACGCATCCGGTTCTAACTATTGTACGAGAACTTATACTGGTGGGTGGTGGTTTAAGAATTGTCACTATGCCTATCCTAATGGCTTGTACCTTGGGAAAAGTGGGAATGTCTGGGAAGGGGTTCTTTGGTATGGATTTAAAAACAAAAAATCTCTTAAGTTTATTGATATGAAACTGAAACCGGTATCCTAGATTGGAAAGTCATTATTTCAACTTAAAACAAAAAATCTTTTAGTTAATATTGAAATGACTCAGAAACAGCTTGAAATTGAAAAGGAGCTGTTTTTCCCTAAGTGTAATAAACACTGCATGGATAACGTTTGCGGCATAATTCAGCTTCCGAGCTTTAAAGAAGCAATACAAGGTTTGCGATGTTCGTTATATGCTAGAACTGAGGTACTTTGTATATTTTTGCCTTCGAGTTCATTGCTATTGCAGAGCCAAATCTCTTTTCTATGGTAACGGCTACCAATTCCCTTTCCAATATCAAGCAGCTATTTCCTCGAGAAAAAAAAAGAAGAAACCTCTCCAGCGGGGACAAGCGGATAATGGCAATGGTTTTTTAGCGCCTGGCAGTGATAAGATAGTTTTTTTTATGCATTTCTTTTTTTATATACATTTATGTATAAAATAAACTGTCTTATCAGATGTCCAATTAAACGCTTGACACATACGCTTTCTTATGAGTTCTCAAATCAGGTCGCTGATTATCAATCGTGTTCGGAGATTTCTTTACAGTTTGTTTTGGAGTTTTAAACACAGAAACTTTCTCATCTTGTCGAAAAAAAAAAATAAAAGAAAACCACCGCGAGTACATGATGTTGAGGCATTTCTAGTGACTAGAATTTAACTGTAAATTTTAATAACAAGCAAGTTACGCGCGTTCCATTTCAGTTTTTCCATATTAGACATCGATACCAATCAGCAAATCTTTAAAAAAACGACTCGTATTAGAATGAGAAATTCATTTCCCAACTTTTTATGTAGCAAGAATGTGATATAACAACAACAACACAAATAAGTGCAAACAATTCGCTCCGACGAAGGGCTAACGCTCGAAACGTCAGCTTAGAAGAAACTCTTTACGGTGGCCAATCTACATAATCAGCTCAGTTGAAAAAACCAAATGATCTTGTTGTACTCTTCACCGCCATGAGAATTCTATCCAATAAGGTTTACCATCATGTAGCACCACAGTTTCTTTAGAAACTTACTCCAGATTGCACTGAGTCATCAGTGTATTAGCACTGAAATACTATTTACAGCTTTATTAATTCTTTTGGTATACATTATGCGAAACAGAAGTCAGGTTTTTCAAGCCCAATGGCTGATTAGAAACAAGAATAAAGAAGCAGTGTGACTAAACACTGTCGGATTTTGTTCAATAGGCTGTTTATGACTGTTACGTAAAGATAAGACTGAAGCACATTTCAAGAGATCTTTAAGAGATAATTTTTTTTAGTGTTTTCTCCATTTCTCCATCAAGTTTGATTCAAATTTTCTTCGAGGAAGAAAAATAAAATCATTTGGTCTTTGGGCGCTGCAACTAGTTTGATGTGCTGCCTGCATTTGTTGAAAATGTCACTTAAGTAACGCAACAAATGACTTTAGAAAAAAAGGCAACCACAATATAAAACCTAAGAGAAATAAATAGAAGAAAAAGAAGAGAAAAAACAAATAGAAGGGAAAGTCTTCGAATTGTGTATCTTTACCAAGTCCACATGTCTCTATATCAGAGCATAAGCAGCTTTTACCATCTTATCACTCGAATTCAAATTGAAGTTATGCAAATAGTTCTAAATTTTCTCAGAGAACAGCCGTTTTTGCTATATTTAGCAATAATCGCATCAGGCTTACAGGTTTCCCCATTAAATTTTGGTTGTCCAGTCATTACCGTCAAGCCAGATTTCGTGCGGGTGCTTCTCCTAATAGACTGAAAGCAAAGGATTCTCCTGAATTCGTAACGATATTTCTCGCAGAACATAGGATAAATGA